CCCTCCTTTTCTTCTTCTTCTTCTTCTTCTTCTTTCTCTTTTTTCCTTTTCTTCTTCTTCTTCTTCTTCTTCTTCTTCTTCTTTCTCTTTTTTCCTTTTCTTCTTCTTCTTCTTCTTCTCCTTTTTCCTCTTCTTAAACCTAGCACTAACCTAAACCTAAAGACTCAAAACTACACCTAAACCTAGCACTAACCTAAACCTAAAAACTCAAAACTACACCTAATTAAACCTAGCACTAACCTAAAACAAATCGAGAAAATAGAGAACAAAAAAACAGGAAAAAACAGAAAAAATTACCTCTTGCTCCGGCGAGGTCGGCCGGTTGGGCGGGCAGGCGCAAGGGCCGCGGGGAGGAGGACGACAACGGGGCGGGCGGCGCAGGGACCTCGGGGAGGGGTCCGGCACCGGGGCGGCCCGGCGCAGGCCACTCCGGCGACGGGGCGACGGGGCGGGGATGGCCGGCGGCGGCGACAGAGGAGAGAGGCGGACGCACGGGAGGGAGGGAGAGAGAGAAAGAGAGGGGGGAGACGGCTCGGCCCGTTAAGTGGGCCTTCTTTGTCGTCCGTTAGCAGACAGCAACGAGGGCCACCGTTAGGGCTGGCTCACGTCTCCTCTTTGTCGTCCGCAAGCAGACGGCAACGGACTAACATTGCCGTCCGCCAGCAGACGGCAAAGTAATCACCTCTTTTGCCGTCCGCTAGCGGACGGCAAAGAATCTGACCTAGCCACGCCGTGCCCTGTGGGGCCCACCTGGCTCTTTGCCGTCTGCCTTATAGCTCTTTGCCGTCAGCTGGCCGACGACAAAGAAGCAGCTGACGGCAAATAGCATTTTTGCCATCTGCCCTTTCTTTGTCGTCCGCTTTGTGGAAGCAGACGACAAAGAGGCTCTTTGCCGTCAGCTGGCGGACGGCAAAGAAGCTGATTCCAGTAGTGTATCTCTTCGCCGAACTAGTGTACTTATACAATTTGCCATTGTATTAGGTGTGTTGGGGACACAAGAGATTTCTTGTATTTGGTTGCAGGGTTGTTTGAGAGAGACCATCTTCATCCTACGCCTCCCACGGATTGATAAACCTTAGCTCATCCACTTGAGGAAAATTGCTACTGTCCTACAAAACTCTGCGCTTGGAGGTCCAAACGAGTCTATAAGAATAAAGTTGCGTAGTAGACATCAGTCACCAAGTCAAGAAGCACGACAACGCCTTCGCTGTGACCGCATAGAGAGCTCCCGTTGCCCGTTCCATGTTGGTCGTTGGTTGAAGACTATATATTATATGCCGGGTTTCGGTTTAAACTTATGGTATTATGTTATAGTGCGTGGTTAAGACTTGTATGTGTGCCTAAGTTTGTTGTCTTGCTCTAGTTTATTCTTAGCTATCCATGTGTGTCTCTGATAACCTCACCACGTGAAGGAGTAGGTTACCACATAGTTTTTCTGGATGTAACCAAACAACTGCTTGTGTTTTCCCTAAGACAAGTCCGCAACCAAACAACACGTCTTCCGTTTCGGCACATTCACGCTAGAGGTGGTGCGGATAATCAGTCAACATATAGATATTGGTTTTTTGCCTGTATTTGCTCAACCAGACTCAACCGAGACAAGTATGCAAAGGGGCAAAAAAAATGCAGGTTACCAAACACATTCCTAGTGTTTGCTCGTATTTGCAAGTTTTGGGTTTTTTCTCGTGAAAAAGAATGACAAAGACAACTGGAGTCAATGCCCCGTTAAGCGGGGAACGACGAATGGGTCTCGCTCCAACAGTCTATTCCGTCTTATCCACAGTTGTGGAGTATTAACTGTAGAGCTACACCTGTAGTGCAGTACTACTAGTACTACCATTCATTGGTTACAGAAGCTCCATTCATTGGTCATTCATCTCGCCCATCTGAGATTCTCTTCACTCCATGGATGATTGATAGTTGATACCTGTCCATAGGCAACTTTGCGCAACAACAACAACTGTGCTCTGTCCAGAACTACGTGCATACACAGCACATTGTTTCGACCATGTCTCTGGAGTCGTCCATCGCTCTCCTTCGCCACCTCACCGTGCTCACCCTCGTTGCTCTCGTCCCTTCTTCGGCCGCACTTAGCTTCATCTACAACGGCTTCCAGCACGCCGCCGACCTGAGCCTAGACGGCTCGGCGTCCATCTTGCGCGGCGGCGCGCTTCAGCTCACCAACGACAGCAACAACCTCATGGGCCACGCCTTCTTCGCGGCGCCAGTGCCAATGCTCGTGAACAAGGCGGTCATCTCCTTCAGCACGGCCTTCGTCTTCGACATCGTTACTGTCGGCAGAAGCGGCGGCCATGGACTCGCTTTCGTGGTCGCGGCTTCCAAGGTGCTCCCCGGGGCAAGTGACGAGCAGTACCTTGGCCTCCTCGGCAAAGGAAATCTGGGCAACTCCTCGAACCACGTTTTCGCCGTCGAGTTGGACACGGTGCAGGCGAACGGGCTCCTGAACGAGACGAACGCCAACCACGTCGGCGTCGACTTGAACAGCCTCGTGTCCAACGTGTCGGAGCCGGCCGCCTACTTCACCGATGACGACGGCAGGAGCGTCTCCGTGCCGCTCGAGAGCGCGCAGCCGATCCAGGCGTGGGTGGACTACGACGGCAGCGCCAAGGTCCTCAACGTGACCATCGCTCCCGCGTCCTTGCAAACGCGGCCTCGCCGGCCGCTTATATCGCAGGTCATTGACCTCTCGCCGATCTTTAAGGAAGACATGTACGTCGGTTTCTCGGCGGCGACAGGGAAGTTGGCGAGCTCGCATTACGTTCTTGCCTGGAGCTTCCGTACCGACGGAGTCGCGCAAGCCATCGATCTCTCCCGGCTGCCGAAAGTCCCAAAGGCGCCGGCTCCTCCACCTTCCACGTCCACCATCATCAAGATCGTCGCTCTGTCTTGCGCCGCCACGCTGGTCATGGTCGTCGCCGCCATCGGTGCCGCGTTTTGGCTGCGGAGAAGGGCGGCGCTGGCCGAGACGCTTGAGGAGTGGGAGCTGGATCACCCGCACAGGTTGCCCTACAAGGAGCTGTACAAGGCGACAAAGGGGTTCAAGAACAGTGAGCTCCTGGGCGCCGGTGGCTTCGGCCAGGTGTACAGAGGCGTGCTCCGGCGCTCTGGCGACACGGTGGCCATCAGGAGGATCTCAAGCAACGGGTCGCAGGGGATGCGCGAGTTCGTCGCCGAGGTCGCGAGCCTCGGGCGCATGCGGCACCGGAACCTGGTCGAGCTGCGCGGGTGGTGCAAGCACGGGCAAGACCTGCTTCTGGTCTACGACTTCATGCCCAACGGCAGCCTCGACGCGCACCTGTTCGGCAGTGCCGGCGCCGGCGCCGGCGTCGGCGTGTCCCCGTCGCCGGCGTTGCTCACGTGGGAGCAGCGTTTGAGGATCCTCAGGGGCGTCGCGTCCGGGCTGGTGTACCTGCACGAGGGGTGGGAGCAGGTGGTGGTGCACCGCGACGTCAAGGCCAGCAACGTGCTGCTGGGCGCGGACATGAGCGCGCGGCTCGGCGACTTCGGCCTCGCGCGCCTCTACGAGCACGGCGCGGAACCTGCCACGACTCGCGTCGTCGGGACGCTGGGCTACATGGCGCCGGAGCTCACCGTGACTGGCAAGGCCACCACGGCCAGCGACGTGTTCGGCTTCGGCGGCCTGCTTCTCGAGGTGGCGAGCGGGCGGCGGCCCATCGACCCCATCACCGGCGTGAACCTGGTGCGCTGGGTCCGAGACCACGGCGTCAAGGGCGACCTGGTGCGAGCCGTGGACGAGAGGCTCGACGGGTGGTATGACAAGGAGGAGGCGAGGCTGGTGCTGTGGCTGGGTCTCGCTTGCAGCCAGTGGCGGCCGGAGGCACGGCCTAGCATGAGGCAGGTTTGCCAGTACCTCAACGGCGAGGAGGAAATGCAGGAGGATGCCGTGCTCGTCTTCTCAGACGTCGACTCCATCGACCTCGGCTCCTTGACGTCGCTGACATGGTCGTCATCATGTCAGTCGTGTGCAACAATGTCGGCGGGCTCACTGCGCCGTGGACGGTGAATGGCTTGAGCTTGAAGAGCTTTTGCCAAATTCCCGTGAAGCTAAAACTTTCTACTCCTCGACCATGCGTTCATGCTGTCTTTTAAGCTTAAGGATATACTAATAACCAAGTACTAGTGCGCAGAATAGCATGTAGGAACTTTTACTGTGGGATACACCTACCAGTGAATGGAATTTCAGAGCAAATTGTATCAGCAACTTCAATACGACTGGCACAAGATGCAAAATTACATGCTTGAGATAATAAAAGGCAATATGTTAACTCAGATATACATGGGATGTTTAAATAAGTGTAGACAAATTACAAGCCTTAGATACACAAGAAGAATTTATTCAATCAACCGGTATAACACAAGCCCAGGCGCAAGCCATCTCATACAAATGTCGTTTCTTCAGAAAGGCCCCAAAAGGAATAGTTACAGCAACAAATAATCCATGCCCATTCGCCCAATAAGCGAGCATAAAATAAATAAATGCACAAGACATGGAAATATCGGCTTCACTAGAGCTAGAGGTAGATCTTCAATGCCCTCAGCTGGTAATTTGGTCTGTGCTCCCAAGGAAAACAAAATGAATTAGCTTGAATCCCTGGAAACAATCTTGAACCAAATGAAATGAAATTCAAAATGAACTGAGACAACGGAGAATCGGCACAGACAAGAAACATGGAAAAACAAGACTTGACTTACAAATAGAATTTTTAAGCAGGGTATGTTCTCAAACTAAAGTCTTACTGATCCAGATAGATATTTGGTTTCCAAACGGGGCACAATTTTCAAGAACTAAATTACTCAACCTAAGAAATATTGCAGATAAATATCAATAACAAGCCTGTATGAACCTCCTCACGTCCAGGATCTAGATTAGTCGTCTGATCACATTGTGTTCTTCTAGATAATTGGTTTTAAGAAACGAAATATTTTCAACCAGACGTATACGATACAAACCTTGGCTCTTAGTAGGGAGGATCAGGGTTAAATGCTAAAGTTTCCCTCCAGATGAGCTCTTTCATATGTTCTTCTGTAAAAGATGGTTGCTCAAAATCAAAGCTGAAAGGTGCTGGGCAAGTGGGTTCTTCGTTGATGTCATGAAGAGAAGCCAAGTATGGGTGATGCAGAGCCTCATCAACTGCATGAAAAATGATTTTGAGCCATAGTAAAGCAAACAAAACTAACATAAGTAGTTAGTTCAAGCCCATGTACCAGTGATGCGTCTGCTTGGGTCAAACACCAGCATTCTCTCTAACAGATCAACTGCACCATCAGACATGTTGCGGAAGCGCAGGCGGAAGTCCTGCCTTGGGTACTGTGGTAATTGCTTCATGTATCTTCGTGCATTATCACTCCGAAGAAATCCTAGGCTCGAATCATCTGGTGATCCTATCAACTTTTGAAGCAGAAAGCCGGAAAGGACTGATTAATATTTGACACAACAGGTTCAAGAGACATCATTAAAAAAAGAAGCAAAAATGCATTCCGTGGTACTAAGAATGGTCGATTTGAAGCTAAGAATTTATTGCACAGAAACCAACCAGTATATATAGTAAAATGTATACTTTGAAGAGAAGAGACATCCACAGAAACTTGCACGAAGTTAATAATCCAAATATGGATTCCAGATCTGATGACACAGTAAAATGTTGCAGCACCAACATGCTACCAGATGCAAAATACATTTACTAATTCAGTGTTGGCGTAAAAGTAAACAACTTCTATTCAAACACAAGATGTGAAACAGGTCTAACAATACAGTCAGATGTGCCAAGAAAGATCCAGTTATCCTATTGTTCCAAATATAACAATTGTCAAATTCTATTAAAGAAGCTCAGAAACAGACTCATCTTGATTGATTGACAGCTTCCAAATAGACAACAACATGACTTGTCAATGTGGATACCAAAAAAGGCAAGCTACGAGTTGAACAAACCTACCTCAGTGATCAATTTTAACTGTTGGATGTAATCTCTTCCAGGAAACAGGGGTTGACGAGTAATAATTTCACCAAGTATGCACCCAACTGACCAGACATCAATTGCAGCAGTATATTGTGAACAGTTCAACAGCAACTCTGGTGCTCGGTACCAACGAGTGACCACATACTCTGTCATGAGATCAGTTTCTGAAGTGGTCCTTGCAAGCCCAAAGTCTGCAATCTTGAGATCGCAATTTGCGTTTAGGAACAAATTGCTTGGCTTCAGATCACGGTGCAAGACATTTGCTGAGTGCACATATTTTAGCCCTCGAAGCAACTGATACAAGAAGTACTGCAATGCAAAACATGTAACTTATGATTGCTGGAAAATAGAGCTCATAAACCTAAACTAAGAACTAAAGAAGGTACGGAACACAACATGTAACTTATGATTTCTGGAGGACAAAGCTGATAAACCTAAGCTAAGAACTAAAGAAGGTGAAGAACACAATTGTGAGTACATGTCAATCGATATCTACATTAGTCACCAGAAGATTTGTTTCAACTGCAATTGCAGCAAATACATAAGAATCTTGGCAGAAGCAGGAGGCAACAAACCTGGCAATGGTCATCAGTCAATGATTGATTTGAGCGAATGATCTGGTGGAGATCTGTGTCCATCAACTCAGTAACAATGTACACATCCTTAAAATCATCTCTTCTTGGGGGGCGTATTAAATCCTTTATGGCAAGAATCTGTGATCCAATTTTGAAACCATGATAAGAATAAACCCATCATAGGAATGACTGACAGTGTGAGTATGAGTGGACAACAAAGCCCATTAACAGTAAAATTGTAATGACAAAAAACAGAAGCCACGCAGGCACACCGCTTCTAGAAACTTGGACAAAGGAAAAAAAAACACTAGTAGAAGCAAACTTCAGAGAAAATTGTCAGCGCACACTCGACCCTATGACTGTGATGCCAGCTGATCCCTATGCTTCTAGATGCTTCTTTAGTAAGAAGCTTAAGTATTACCACAGAACTTCATCATGTACATAATCAAGCAATAAGGGTCAGTTCCTGGGTAGGGCCATACTCTGCGATTTACATTCAACATATTACACCTAAAGTAGTTCTTTCCTTATGCATAGTAATTCTCTATAACCAGAAGTACATGACCACTTGCCTCTGCCAAAATTTGGTATTCAAAAAGAAACTAATAAGAGCAGCGTTCACAGTTGAACATGTGTTGCTCAAGCACAGTGGTAAGCTATCTTATGTATAGAAATGTAAAGCACACAGCAAACACTTATAGCGGTATGGCAAGTACATCGAGCAATCACTATACATGTCCAAACAAATTAAAACAGACAAGTCTTACATTCTCATGGTCCATGTGGCGAAGAAGCTTTATTTCTCTCAGCGTCCGCTTGGCGTCGATGTGGTTGTCAAACGCATTTCCAATCTTCTTGATCGCAACCTCCTCTCCTGTATCCGAACTAACCGCCGCGCTACAAATAGGGAACAAGAGTAGGCAAATATAAGCACTCCTACTGCAACCCTTAGGGTGGGGCGTCGCCGTGACTCACTTCCTCATCATAACTTTATGCCTAAAAACGTCATACCCGCATGTGTGCCAAATCTGGGCAGACACCGCCGCACGGCGCGGAATATTCTACACATGGCATAGATAGATAGCAGCTCGGATTCGCTATTAACTGCAGCGGCACGCATAAAATCCGTGATTCGGGAGGGGAGAACGCACCAGACAATGCCGTAGGCGCCTCGGCCGATGGGGCGGATGGGCGGGGCGTACTTGGAGGCGACCTCGAAGAGGTTGCCGTAGACGTTGTAGAGCACGTAGCGGCCGCCGTGCGTCGCCATCCCCTGGATCTGCGCGGCCCCGCCCGCGGCGCCGCCGCCGCCGCCGGAGGTATCCATGGCCTCTTCGTCGCCGCTCGCGAGGGGGAGGAGCCGAGGAGGGGGAGAGCAGGGTTGGGTTCTAGGGTTGGTGCTTCGCAGCGACTAGTCGTTCATGGGCTTGGGGGACTCTGGTGGAGAAGCTTCCCCCTCTTTTTGACTTGGGCGGCGACTGGGGAATGCGGATGGGAGCGAGCGGACGCGAGGACGGAGACCGCGCGCGTGGGGCGACGTTAAGGGGAAAACACAAGGGAAAAAAAGGTAGATAGGGGTAAATGTCCAATTTGCTTAATTTATTGCTTTGTACTCCATTTAAAAAAATGGTGAGGGTTCATACACACCTTTTTTTGGCGAGATCATACACACCTTATATTGCTCTAACGACTTTACTGATCTACTCCTCCATTCTTTATTGTAAGAAACTGCAAAGACGTCTTACATTAAGAGACAAAGATTGTATCTAATTGTACAGTCTTTACAAATAATTACAGATGATACACCGTGAGTTGTGAAGATTAGTTGCAATTATTTAAATGATTGCTTGTATGAACCATTAATGTTTATATTCGCAAAAAATAATGAAACATTAACGTTTGGATTAATAACAATATAAAAGAATTTATCTGAAATGCATGTAATTTATTGCATTTTAGTACTGTATATTTGTAGAATATTTATTAATATAAGTAGCATGGATTGCGCAAACAATGTGTTTTTTCCATGCACGGTGGCATGGTGAATTACATGGTTGCATGTTACTCCCTCTGTTTTTAAATATAAGCCCTTTTAGAGATATCAGTATGAACTATATATGGAGCCAAATGAGTGAATCTAACTCTAAAATGTGTCTATATTCATCCGTATGTAGTCCCATGTTTAAATCTTTAAAATGTCTGATATTTAGGAACGGAGGGTGTACAAGAATTGAATGTAATGGGTCTTCTTTCATGCATGATGACATGATGGGCTAACATAGTTGCATGTTACAAGGATTAAAATCTTGTTACATCATTCCACCTAAACGCGTCCGGTGGCCACCTTCTTTCCACTCGTGCAATCACACTACAATACTTCATAACGGTGTTTAAAATGGTGTATCACTGATACACATGTATATTACCGTAAACATATTCACACGTGGCATACAAAAAAGACAAATACATATTTCTAAAATGGACTAATTTATTCTGTTGTTTGAGCTGAATTTTTTTGTACAATCTACAAATCACAATATTTTCAAACAATTTTTCACACGTCCGTGTTTTCCATGGATTGTTTTATTTTTCTAGCTTTGAAATATGCCTTTTGAGCTTTTTAAAATACCCAGCTCACCAAGAGTCCGCACCCAGAGGACAAGGGCATAATTGGAGTCCTAGGTGACGCCACATCCTGATCTGATGCGCCTGGCGAGAAGAATGGTCAGACAAAAGTCAGTCACATGTCGGCCTCTGCCTTCATTCCTAGTGGTTGGCTGAGATAGTTTCCTCACGCTCCGGGCACTCTCTTCCCGTGCCTTTCTCCGGTCATCAGTCTCAGGGTCTCCGACATCATGTAACCAACCACCCGAACCACCATTTCTTCCAAGGTCACCTTTGCAGGACGCACAACGATCAGTGTGAAGGCGCGACGCAGACCTTGCTGGTGTACTAATCAAAGTCAGGAAGGGTACCTGTGTTTAGCTCCCTCCGATCTTTCTGGTTGCTAGTGCAACGCGTCGTCCAGATGCTAGAAATGTCAACGACACAAAAAAGTAAGAAAAGTACCACCAAAATTGTTTGGAGATTTGTTGGAGGAGACTCGTTGTCCATGACGTGGTTTTACCGTGACTGGGCTTGCATGTATGTGTATACAACAAATCTTTGTACAAGTCACCCCTCAAAAGAAACTTTGTACAAGTCAACTGAATAACGAAATCATTTTCATTTTGGTAAAACCAGAAGAGTGACACACGTAAATGCGCGGCAAGATTTCGGTATGACGTGTTAGAGCATCTACAGTCGGGCGTCTCAAACCCGCGTCAAACGTCCCGGCGAACAACACGTTTACTGACCGGTCACGAAAATGCGACCCAGACGGACGCCTTAAACGGGCCTCAAACGTCTGGGCTGACCGGCACCCCTCATATCCAGCTCAAATATGGGACAGATATGGGGCCGTCCGGGCGCGTCTGCCACGCCGGACTGACGCTCGGGTCCCAGAGGAAAACAATCTGAAACCCGGTGGTCCGAAGCTCGTCTCCTCCGTCGGACCAATGGCACCGCGTGGCGCCGCTTTAGCGGGACGTGTAGTGCTTAGCCCGACTATTTAAGCCGACTGTCGGCACCGGAATCCTACCCGTCCACATTTTCCCCCTCTCGTCTGCCGTCGCCGCCACTTTTCACTTGTCGTCCGCCACCACTAGTAGCCATGTCCCCATGCCGCCGGGTAAGGAGCTGCCCATATCTAACGTCGGAGTGCCGGCTACAGCTCCTTGAGCACGTCCGGGCAAGGCGCGAAACCTGGATCGCCGTGGGGCTACCTCCGGATGCGGTGGATCCGGAGGAGGACATGGAGGAGGAGGAGGAGGACGAGGAGGTTGAGGAGGAGCCAGAGGAGGACGTGGCGGACTTTGAGGACGCGGATCTGCAGGCGGAGCAGCAGGCAGAGCAACATGCCATCATTGATTCCCTTCGCTCGGAGTCGGATGCAGAGGCCAGACGTCGTCGTCGGCAGGTAATGGAGGTGGAGCAAGCCGCTGAAAGTCGACAAGATGCTCGCGTACATGGATGAGGAGGAGCCGGAGCCCTCCTACGCGCCCGTCCACCGGGCACCGACGTCGTGGATATCTTCGACGACGAATTGTAGCTAGCGTGTTGTAGTACGTAAGTTTATTTTGCATGGTTTGTATGGATCTAGGGGAAGAAATATGAGAGATCCCCATGCGGAGAAGGAAATTTAAGGCGTGACCGGTCACTACCGCGGATGCGCCCGATCGTGTCCGTGGACATTTCAGAAGTTCGATTTGCCAAGTCCGGTCGTAGATGCTCTTATATCATTCAGGCTCCTATAAGAGGGATAAGACTCTACTCATGATCCCTGTGGTTTGTGAGCTCCAGGTGTTCGCCAAGCAGTTGTACCGATGTTTGCATAATGGTTCTACCGGTGGTACTTGGCAATCACCAGAGGATACCCACACGGCGATTGTACTACCGGTCAAGGGTGACTCCCTTTGGATGTTTGTCGGAGTAATGGGCCACGGGTAGCCTAACCCGAGTCCCAGAACCTTTCAAGACAGCGGGCCAGCTGCGCCCCTCAAGACATCAAGATGAAGTGCCGCCTTCTGGTGGCCGGCTGGCTGAGGGGCCAACTGCCTGAAGGCGGCCAAGCTCAGGAAGGCGGCTCCAAGACGGGCCGACTCCTGGCAGGCGGCCTCCAGAGAGGCCGGTTCCTAGCAGTCGGCCCACGGTGTCCTCAAAGTCTGCACCCCCATTAAAGAAGACAAGACCGGGTGAGGCAACAGTGTATCCCATCCCCCTAGATCCAGGGGCGGGCGTGGCCACAGTGCCTCGTACCAGCGGATATCTCCGCTCGGCGCGGCACTGTTGCCACTTCGTCCTTGACGTCACTCCTGACAAGCAAGGCCCTGCTCCCATGACCGCCTGTCGGTACGGCTCAAGGACGGCAGGCCCTACCAGACAGCGAGAGCCCGGAAGACAGCGGGAGTCACACCAGTCGGACCCGAGGGAAGCCGGCTCCCAGCAGCCGGCCCGAACCTTTCTCAGGGCCCCACGCACCATTAACCAGATAAGATGCAGAGTGGATACAGTGATCTCCCACCAGGCGGCGGGACTATAGCCACGCCTCCCTGACCGAGCACGCGTCATTAGCAACACAGCTACAGTAATCCGTAGCCGGCAGGACCCGCGAGCGGCGGAGGCGGCCTGTCGGCTTCGTACCAGACCAGGCGGCGGGGCCCACCAGGCGGCGGGCCCCAGCAGTCGGCGGAGCAGCCGGCGACCAGAGAGACTGACAGCCGGGCCCTACGCCCGGCTAGATTACCATTGTACCCCTGGTGGGGTAGGCCTATATAAACCCCCAGGGCACCCATGCAAATGGTTCCCACCCGGTTAGGACTAGATTCATACCTAGGGGAGGAGAGAGCAAGCCTGGCCTTCTCCTACCTCTAGCATACAGCTCGAGGAGCACCATTGTACTCACTTGCGCCTTAGTGATCACGCGGAGATCCCGCAGAGCAGGACTAGGGGTGTTATCTCCTAGGAGAGCCCCGAACCCGGGTAAAGTTCGTCGGCGTACGTGTCTACTCCTCATCCCGCTTCCAGGCACCGACGACATTCTACTCGCTCCCACCATGATAAGCCATCCATTGGCATATGTCGCACCCAACCCCCGACAAATTGGCGCCCACCATGGGGCCAGGTGCACCGTCGTTTGGAGACCTGTTCTGGACGGGATCCCCTTTTCCTCCCTAGCGAGCGTAGCCAGCCCGGCACGCCAGACGGAGTCTATGCCGACGCGCTGCATGGCGTGGAGCTTGCCTGTGCAGCAAGCTGCCTCGCCGACCTTGTTGGCGAGGTTCGCCTCTCCAACGAGCCGGCGTCCGATAAGGGCAATGATGGCCCTGAGAGCCGCCTCGTCAGCCTCCTCGATCAGCTCCATGTGGCCGGCGAGCCCGCTGCGGATTTGGAATCCGTTGGCTCCACCGACCCGATGCTTGTCGATTTCGACACTGCGTCGCTTGACGCGTTCCCCACCAACGTGGTGGTCTACGACGAGCCGCCTTCTCGCGAGGAGAGCGATGAAAGCGCTATCACGGAGGTGCTTGTCATCGGCCAAAGTGAGCACTCTGGCGGAGGTTCTCACGATCCACTCAACGCGGAACTACAAGACCTGACGGCACCCATCCCAGAAGACGTCGACGCCGAGATGCTGGAAGCACGCCGCCTCCAGCTTGTCGAGGGCGCCAAGAAGCTGGCTAGCATGAGACGCCTGTTGGAAGCCTACCGACACGAGATGGACCGCGT